CTCTGAGGACTTTTTCAGCCGACAAGTCGGGACCAGCGGGGTAAGTAAAAGGAGGATCTATTTAGAGCTTTTTTCGAGCAAGTTAACGCTGTTGTCTTTAGCTCGTATAGCTTTGATGCAGACTTTTCCGAGCGACGGGTCTCTCGCGGGGGGGGTGGGGTGGGAACATTTCCGCGAGCGGACACTCCGAGGTGAGATAACCGAAGGGCCCGGTTGGAGAGAAGTTTGTAGGAAAAGTGGTGGTTGACCGACTCGAGAGGTAAAAGTTTATCAGCGGGTCAATGGCGGTACTATACACCTCCCAGTGGGGCAAGGGGATCCTTGGAGCGTCTCTCGAGTTGCGGTGAGGGGATGACGGGACGAGATGAAAAATCTTGATGTGACATTTATACTCACGCTAGCGAGCCTTGACTCTTTTTTTTTTTTTTTTTTTGTTTCTTTGGCGGAATTTTACAAGCTAATCTTACCCCTGCTTTGGTATCGCATCTTGCGTTTTATTTATTTTTTTTTTACATAAATTACAAATGGATGTTTCGAGAATCGTTCAAAGTTATCGAGGACTTTTTCGAGGAGGGAAAAGCTTACTTTGGCAATTTCGAGGCAGCGGCCACTAGAGGAGTGGGGCTTTAACTAGGCCAAAAGTGAATTTGGATTAACTGCAGAGGGTACGGGGACTGTAGATACCTACCACCACTTGTCAAAGCCATCACTTGTGCACATCTCTTTGATTTACTTTCGTTTGTTTGCTTTTTTTTTTTTTTTTTTTTTTTATTGTTCGATCAATCAGCAAACTGTTGACTTTGTTAAATTTTTCCTCGTTTAACTTTCGTTGCACAAAAAGTAGACCAACACTGAAAAATCTAAACGCGATATGTCTGTTTTGTAGACTTTTTTTTTTTTTTTTTCAAAGAGTCGGTCGAATAGAGTTTTGATGAAAGCACGTAGCCATAATTTGGCAATTGTAGCGTCGAGAATAAATTTGAGCAATACTCGAAGTAACAATGTAGTATTAGAATAGTAAAATGGACAAGTTGTCTTTTCAAAACGCGTATTTAATTATGAATTTATTTCGAGCTCCTCGAGATATATTATTATTATTCCACACACAAAACCGATAATCGACAAATGATCGATCGGCATTCGGATTATCGTATTATTTACTTTTGTCCGTTTTCGTTTGCTAATCCTATATAATTGTATACTCTCTATACTGATTTTATTTAAACCACCTCGTGTGAATCCCTGCTAATGCAGTCTTTCCGCTCGAATTAGTTCGAAAAACTAAGTTTTAGTTCATTTAATTGTTGTTTTTTTTATCTGATAATTACAATATTCGCCTATACCAACCCACTCTCGAGACTATAATAAATACATGTTATAATTCAACGTGACCTGTACCAACGACAACTTTACCCTATATCGTCGATCATATGTGTATATATATAGATATATTTATGTATATAACATCCCTAATTTTCTGCTCAACGCTATCTATGTTCACTCAATTTTCATCGATATACATATTATTTATTTACAAGAAATTTGTTTGCGCGTTTCGTAATAATAATACCCAAACGGTTTGTTTGTTTGTTCGCCACTTAGCCTACACATTTTGCTCCCCTATATTCCCCCAATCCCCGTTACACTGCATTTGTATCACTTTTACGTGTGTTGACTTTTATCCTTTCAGTCTAGTACACCATCTCCCGAACCGATGCGCGATTCACTGTAACATTATATAATATATATATACCATTACAAGTTGCAGGGAACTGTGCATCGGTTCTACAAACAGATCACTCGGCGATCGACCCTTTGGCCGTCGATATCTCGAGACTTTTTCGTTTCTTGCTCGAGGGTGATCCCAAAAACTCGAGGCGACCTCGAAAGGAGTGCACCGAGTGCTCGGATCAATATTTTTTTTTTTTTTTTTTTTATATAAAAGCACTCGATGCGCTCCTTATTTTACTTAACTTAAATAATACTAAGCGTTTGGTTTGGCGAGCGGACGATTCGGGTGCCGAACGTGCGCGCGACGCGGACAAACCGTCGTCCTGCTTTGTAGGATTTTCAACGAGACACGCGTGCATTTTTTTTTTCTTTTTTTTTTTTGTTCGGTAACTGATTGAACACATATAATGTGAGCGGGCAAAGGATTAGAGGAGGGGAAATGTAAAAAGTTGGGAGAGAGAAACACGTTTGTTACACACCCATGGGGTACACTTACACACGGTGAACATATATACCTAAAAATGGAAGACGAGGTTCGAACGGGGGAAGGGGTGGGGGTACGGCGAGTTGGGATCAACTTGTATTACACGCTGTACTCCCGAATCGCGAACTTTGTTTTCCCGCCGATTTTTTTAATTCGACCCACGCATCGTTCTTTCTATTTTTTATTCCTCCAAAACTCGGTACAACTGTCGTTGTGCATTTTGTGATCTTGAAACTTTACTGAAAAATATCGCTCGAAAAGGAAACAACTTTAAGTTACAACGTCTTCACTGTTTTTATCATCTGATTATTACTATTATTGTTGCATTGCAGTTTGTAGTAGTTAGTGAGACAAAATTTGTACGATTCGACAAAGTCGAAAGTGATTTTGTTTGTTTTTACAAAAATAAACGCATAGGTATGATTGTCGGGCGTTTTATACATATACTCGTGAGAATCTAGTTTTCCCAGCTGAAAAGACTAAACAAACAAAGCTCCTGGAGTCGACGCGAGAACGAGCGGAGTTTATAATTTCGTTGGACTCGGGAACAAAAAATAAAAAAATTCCTCGCCGCTTTTAATAAGCTCGTCGATGGACTTTTAATGAACTTTTCAGCGGCCCATCGGTGATCAGCTTTTTTTTTTTTTTTGTTTCATTGAAGCGATAAAGGAAAACACGGCTTTGAGCCAAATTTTTTTAACGATGCGAAAATCGAATACTTGAAGCATCGATTGAAAAAAAGTATGGCCTCTCCGTGGGGTTTTCCGTAATTTTTCGGATTCCAAACCACTCGCGCGAGCGGAAATGATAATCGAGCGGCCGATGGGATCGAATTTCCCGGCAAAAATACGTGAACCCAAAATTCGTACCATTTTCGTTTAATCACCGGATTCATCCCTCGAAAATCTCAAAGAGAGAGAGAACATGGTGGTACTAATCACCCGCTCGATCTACATTTCCAGGGACAAGAAGGGGAGGGAGCTTGATTTACAAGCCTTCTCTTGCACAGTCCCTCCGCGAGTTATTGGAGCGTCGAACACGCGGGGCTCGTGCTTTCCTTGGGAGACACGTCGGAGCTTTGGTTGTTCCTATAAAATATCACCCTAAGGCCCTCGTTGTAACATCGTAAAAAATACATTAGAACAAAAAAGTATTGCAAAAGTCAAGAAAATTTCAAGATCACAAAATGCCGTCAATTCAAACTATTATATTCACCATCCCACTCACGGAGAATCAACGCGAAGCGTTGACTTTTTTTGTACTATACCTAATAATCCATTCAGTTGAAATGTTTACCGTGAGGCGAGATTTTTTTTTTTTTTAATTTATCGAGGGTATTGGGGTTCGATTATCGAGGAAAATTTATTACTCGAGCAAAAAACTACCGGTTGGCAACATCAACATCGACGTGAAATTCAGTCCCGTCGTCGTAACAATTAATCATCCCTGTACAATACGCGCGCTCCTCGCCAACTATACTACCACATATTATTTATTATGTACAATAATTGCAATGATAATAATAATAATAATAATAATAATAATAATAACAACACGAGATGAATCGGTGCATTTTCGGACCGCTCGATTAAAACCCCCTCTGAGGCTATTATCGTTACTGTACCGTGTAAATATAACGCCGAGCACATATCCACGTTATTCATCCCTCGTCACCCTCTTCTTTTTCTTCCATTGTATTTAATTGCCTTCCCATTAATCGACCGATCGCCCCTCGCGCGGATACAACACACTCGAATTTCCACCGTCGCTCCGCGCTTCGTTTCTTCTCGCGTTTAATCATTTGTATAATTATCTACACGCGAGTTTTCGCTGACCCGCCTCCGTTTGTAAATATCTCCTCTCCATATTTGTATGTACATACACACGTACAATCGTTCAAAACGTGGCGTGGTCGCTTCTTTTTTTTTTTTTTTTTTTAATTCGGTATGTCAGACATGTTTGTTGCTTCAAAACTTGTTTAATCATCTTTTTTTTTTTTTCTCGTAATTTTATTCAATACCTATGGATAAAAACAATGGTGGCAATGACACTGTATACAGGCCTACAGTTATTTTTCTTTCCCTTTCGAACGCGAGAAAAATTACGCGCTCGCCAACTCGTGCATGTGGGAAACACCCTTATTTCCATCCCTCAAAAACGAGACCCAATGACGCGGATTTGTGCATCGATTTATATCCAAACCTCCTTGAAAACCATATCAACCATTGCATTTCGTATTTACAACGCGAAAATCCCCTCGTGCGTACGAGAAACACGCGCAACGCGTCCCTTTCCCTTTGGGGGCTTCATTGTTTCGTGGATTTGGCAATCAATCAAAGTTTCATAGCGCCAATACCTTTGCGAAAAACATTTGCAAAGGTATTGGCTTCACCAACGTTGAATTATAAACTCCCCAAATCGGGGGGGTACAGCTATGTGCTCGAAAAAGCAGCAGCCCCGCAGGAGCAGGGAGCGGAGGAAGGGGAGGAAGGACGTAAATTTCGCGGGCGTGTGGTATAACAATGAGAAAGTAGTGACTATCGCGTTACGTTCAGACGCGCGTCTCGTTGTAAGAGTGCCCGGCGGCGGAGGAGTGGTGGCCGCGGCGGGAGTCGAGGGAGTCGCCGGGCACGGAAAACGTGACGTTCGGCACCTGGGAGGGGTCGTCCTCGGGCTCGCCGGTGGGCCCGAGCAGTTGCTCGGACGCCGAGGGCTGGTGGCCCGAGTGGCCCCCCAGCCCGTCGCTTATCGAGGTCGTCGAGGCTAGTATGCCGCGACCGCGTACCTGGTAGCGCGGGTAACACCGGCCGCAGCAGAACTGCAGGATCGTCCCTCGCTGGTGCTGGGGCCCCGTGCTGTGGGCCGGCGAGGTCAGGGGACTCGGGGAGCCGGCCCGCTTCGGCGCTCCGTTGAATGGCACTTCCATCTCCACGAACTCGCGGTCCTGCAAACATAGTGCCATTATTTTCTGGCTTATTTCCTTTTTTTTTCTTTTTCTTTCAACTAAATGTGTATGTTGGGTGCAAATGTGGTGTTAATGTGGCTGGTAGTATACAAACTCGGTCGGAGTCGCAAAATCTCCGCGATGAATTGCAGTGCCCTCGAGTGCCGATGGAGTGGTCATTCATCGATCGGTAGGATGTTCACTCCGGCGCGAAGATGGAGAGTTTGTTGGTTTTTTTCAAACACCGGCTCGAGCTGTGAGCGGCTATTTTTTTTTTTTTTTTCCAATCGGCCCACTTGTTGGGAGAGGCGTATTTTTAAACCCGAATCGGCGAAATTCAAAGCAGCCGGATGTGGAAGGGGAGGGGGGCGAGAAAATAAGCGATTGTACTTTTAGGGAGGGTCCGTGCTCCGGGAGTCACTGTACAGCGGGAGCTAAAAATAATGAAGAGCTTGGAGTGTTTTTCAAAGGCGTTTGCGAGTATCCTTCCCCTTCTCGAGGCTCTGTATAATTGATCGAGGGCCTGCGCGCTTTAAAGTCTTGATACAGAAGGTCGAAAATCTTTTGTGGTGTTTGGAAGACTTGGAAATCTTTCAGTAGACTCTCAAAGTTTTTTGTGAGCTTTTATGGACTCTTCAAGGCTTTATGTGACTTCAAACGATTTAAAACTGTTTTCGAGGCTTTTGTAGTCTCTAGAAAGACTTGAAAAAACTTAAAAGTCATCGAAAGTCTTGGATGACTTTAAAATCTTTCAGAGACTCTTAAGGACTACGTGTGATTTTAAATTATTGACCTCAAAAAATTTTCGAGAGTTTTGTAATCTTTGAAAGACTTAAAAAAACTTAAAAGTCATCGAAAGTCTTGGATGACTTTAAAATCTTTCAGAAACTCTTAAGGACTACGTGTGATTTTAAATGAATGACCTCAAAGAATTTTCGAGAGTTTTGTAGTCTTTGAAAGACTTGAAAAGACTTAAAAGTCATCGAAAGTCTTGAATGACTTTAAAATCTTTCAGAAACTCTTAAGGACTACGTGCATGTGATTTTAAATGAATGACCTCAAAGAATTTTCGAGAGTTTTGTA